TGAACAATGGTATAAAATGAAAGATTTAATGATGAGAAAAAAATATGTTCCTACATAACATAACCAAAATGTATATACATGCTTAGTTGCAAAACATACAGATGCACTCTGAACAGAATACTAATTGTTCACTCAACAACCCTGATTTTATGTGCTCAATATAGTGCTCATGGAACACTAACAAAATGCAAAGTTTTTTTTTTTTTTTAAACTGGATTCACTTACCTTACATATAATGATTACAAAAATAGTGATATGATTGAAATAAAGGAAGAAAGTGTCAGTGTGAAAGCAACTGCTACACACAGTACTGCACCTTTGAATTATCATCATCCTTTCACTCATGTTACAGTAACATACATGAGATATATATAAGAATTTCTAAGCAAATCATTATGAAGTCTTCCAGTACACTTGCTCATTGTTTTTTGTTTTTTTCAAAATATATTTATTTTCATCTGTAAAGATCAAGTGTAAGCCACCAGCAAAAGCCTACTTACAAATAAATATGAACATAAATCAGATCCATAAAGTATTGTTGAGACTCACTGTATTGTATCTAAAATACATAATACATTTTCAAGTTTCTCATCCTCTTTCATTATGATTTAGTTTTTGAATAATGTTAAAATATAGCCTGCTTTAGATTATTCTGCCTGTCTTTAGTAGTTGACAGTCTGTGACCCCATCTAGTTACAAGACAAGGTAATTTTAAGAATATATAAATGAAGCCATAAAAGTTAGTTCATGCCCCGCCTATATATGATAGGGATTAAATTACTGATGAAAGGTTTACAGATCTTGCAGGGAATTTCAGGAGTTCCCTTGTTAGCAGTCAGTCTAATATATTTAACATAACTGCATTACACTGGTATTTGAAACAAATCTGCATTTTATATTACAGATCTGTTGTACTGAAGCTATCTTTATAATATATAAAGTTGATCTGTTGTACTGAAGCTATCTGAAGGTCAGAGATATTCACTCTTCCTTTTGCACAACTACAATTCATTTCTCTTACCATGACTGAACTTTTCTACAAGAAAAATTTCCTTTAATGTAAATGTTGTAAATACACAAATCATATCACAATAACAGTACAGGACTTTCTCCAATCAAATTTACCAGGTTTGTCTGAAGTTTAATGCATCATACAGTTTGACTAGGTTATAGGAGTGTTACTGCCTGACATATCAAAATTAACATATGCCTTATGACAAAGGCATACCATTTTCTTAATGTTAAGTATGATCTTGAGTATACGTAACATAACCATGGTTATTACATGTATGTATGATTTTACATATATTGAATGTACATGTATACAAATATGTATATACTTTAATCACATGTGTATGTATGTATGTATGTAAAGATATATGTATGTAAGTATGCAAATATGTACACACAAACATACATAGGCCAGTAACAGGCACTAATGGTTAGTCAATTTACACACCAGAAAATTTTATAATTCTTCATGCTGTCCTATATCAGCAGAATTTCAAATATTTTTTTCAGGTTTTGTTGCCTTCATCCCTCAGAGAGCACAAGTATTCCTTAAAGCCTGCCTTGACTGCTACCATGAAAAAAAGAAAATCCTCACGAGATTGCAGACCTGTCGACATGTTACACATAACAAACCACAACACTCAAGTTTACTCTACACATCATTCATACAGCCAGTCCACCATGAACAGAATGTGGTCAATTTCCTTTTTAGGGTGGACACCTCACTAACAATATCACATTTATATTTTTAGAAGATATGAGAAACTAAATATGAAAGACATACTATGTTAGTACACTGTTACTAAAAAAAGGAAATTATGCAAGGCTTAACCACCTTAAAAATATTGCATTAATGTCTGCTCCATCTCCGGCCAGATATGGGCATACATGATTCTATATTATAAAATACTGTACAACAACTTGCCTATCCTTAAGATTACACCAAATCCTCATTCTCACTAATACAAACATCCAAGAAGCTATCCAATACACACAATACAGAATACCGTAAATAAAACTGAAAAATTTTACTTCACATCAAATGTAAACCTAAAATAATAAAAAAAAAACAGGAATGAATATATAGTCCGTCAAAGCCCCTAAATAAGCATTCCTCAATTTTTATCTTTTATTTTATATCCAATGGAATGAAGAAGCAAAGCATCCTTCTCAGTACTAGCAGAGATATTCTCACATCCATTTGTGACTGCTGAACAGAAATGCACCATCCTAATTAATGACGACATTAAATAGTAAGAATAATACATAGGAACTTAAGCACTCCTACATATGCATTTTTCCACTATTTTCTATCATGTCAGAAAATTCACTGATTGCTTTTTTAATACATTATTTTGTTTCATTTTCTACGTACGTTTATTTTCCCATAACATATGGTAAAACTTTTTATATATCCTTCTCTTCCGATCTAAATTCTACACCTTTTTTTCATAGCACTGGGGTGTTCGTGTTTCTGGTAGTTTGGATTGGACTTTTATGTATTTTTTCTTGTTTTTTTTTTATATATTTTTTTTTTAATGATATTTGCATATCTACACAATTTTCTACTCAGCTTGTCACATGTAGCACATTTTCCTCTTAAATCTTGGCACATTGCTTCATAATACAGCAGAATAAAAAACATTGCCAATTCTGTTCTAGTTCAGGATGTTTGGACCACCATTCTTCAACACAAAGCATGACCCTTACAGACAGTTGTTGGAAATTCATATTCCATCAGGCACCATAGCAATTGAGAACTGCACCTTGGATGCCTACCAATGGACTTAGAAACATTGAAAAGTAATTGAGAAGTAACTTTAATTATGCGTAATAGAAGGTAAACCTGTTCTGTCACTCACTTTAATTTCAAGGTCTGTGAGAATTTCAAACATATGTACTATGAAAGTGTCTTTTATATTTTTCATGCAACTGTTTTTGTTTAATTTCTTGAGTGCCTGGTGTGATTTCATTTCTTTGTTTTACATTTCCACAAACAGTAAGCCTAAAATGAACATATTTCTATTACTATACAAGATCAATTATGAATAAGTCTTTTACATTAATCAGTAGATGAGTACATTTCATACTTCAATTATTTTCCTGTTTGTATATTTTGGAAACTGATTGTTAACCTGATCTGAGATTCATCCTTTTCTAGCATGTGTTTAAGATTCAAAAATTTACTTAGAACACTAATGCTTATCTTGAAATGAATTTATCTAATGTATATGTACATATAATATATAACTGTACATTCATGTTTACTTCACAATTTCTTCCCTTTCACACAAACTCAACCATTAATTTCCATCACAGAACTATGCTTCTACCTCACTTTTGGCTTTTTCCTCCTGCTGGGCTTCCTCCTTCTCCTCCTCTCCTTCCTTCTTCTCTTCACCTGTTCTTTGTCATCTGCTGACTGAACATATTCTTTCTTAGCCTTTATGTGGTTGGTGATGATATCTGAATAATATTCCCAAAGACATTTCTGTTGTGTGTCACAAGACGGAGCAAAGTGCCGCAGATATTTGCTAGCTCTTCTTGCAGAGTTGAAAGTCCAGGGGCATTTGCACTGGCGGGCTGTGGTGGAACTCAGTAGTGTGCCAATGAATTCCATTGCTCTCTTCACTGTAGGAGAAAATTGAATTAGTCCTCCCTCATTGACAGAAATGACTGACTGATTCCTGTTTAAATTTTCTATTTGCATTCCCATTAAATTGCTGAAATCTGAGTTTAGCAGATCTAAAGTAACAGTGATGCTCACAAGTCAGATAGCTGCAATCACAATAAAATATGGTGTATATCACTGACAACCTGGTTAAAAATTACTAATTGCAAATCACAACACTTACTTATGAGAGCTCTAATGCGATGGTCTGGGCTCTTAATCTCAAGGACTTGTGACTTTAGAGCAACCTTTGCTGATGTCGGAAGAGGTGGCTTCTCGTTTTCACTCAGGTGATCTTCAACCTCTTTTACCACTTGTTCGGCGATATTTTCCATCAGTGCCATGGTCTCACTGCAGATATGCAAGAGTAAAAATATATGAATAAAAACATAAATAATAACAATGTCTATATTTTCTATAACCTGCATATGGGAAACTAGGTGAAAAATCAATTATGGAGGTATAGTACTTGAAATAATCAATGATCCGCCTTTGGTAAAACAGAATGATGTATCCTTATTCTCAGGAGAGCATGAAGGCCACCTAATTCTGAAATTTGGCCTAACTCACAATTCAAGAACAGTGACAATAGCTGGTTGATAATATTAAGTACAATCAATACAAGTTTGCTGCCTTGAGAACATTGCATTTGGCACTTTGTATGACTCTGGCATTCCATACAATTCTCTAGCCTAAGCACTAACTTATATTGCTTCATGGTTCATCCAGGGCTGATTATTCTACTGGTACAGTATAGGTACCTTAGAATGGTCAAATGCTCTAACATCCATTAGCAACAACAGAGGAAGAACCCACTAGTAGAGTTCATGCAATGACCACTGTGGTTTTGTTTTATTGATTTCACAAACGTATATGTGGCTTTGCAAGCATTTCTCTCATAGAAGTTAATTACTAGACCTTCCTGATCTTATCTGTCTACCTCATGTACCATACTCATGTTGAAAAAATATAAAAAAAGGTATAAATAAGAATGAATATCTTCACAGTACACAAGATATATTTAAATATTTCTCTTTTAACGTGAAGATATTAATTCTCATTCATACCTTTACTACCCAACGTCTTTAATTAAAAAAAAAAAAAAGTTTTATCTCTAATTACTATCATCATCCTTATTCGTCTTGAAATATCATTATGACCATATGTTATAAGAAAGACAATTATTGCATTAAAAAAATCCAAATATTCAAGAAACAGTGTAAAAGACTCCTTATAACTTATTTATCCCCTCCCAACATCAACGGGTAAAATCATACCTATCTGACAGAGCTGGATCAAGAATGATGCAGAGATTTCGTTTTAGTTTGAGCTTGAAGGCATCTGCTTGAGTGATCATGGGTCCCACTGAGGACATTGTGACCAGCAACACTGAACCTAGGATGCAAACTTGGCTTAGGCGGTCACGAAGCTCGAAGATTCTGCCACCATCCATTACCACAGTCTGAAAGGCAAATCACTGCATCAGATAACCAAAAAATACAAAGATATACAGTTATAATGTGAACTATATAGTACTTATGTTACATGTTACTCTTGTAAGATATCATTATACAGTATTTGAGTATAGGCTTAAATAAATTAGTAAGAAAACTATAACAATGTGAATATAGCTTTAACATAATTCAGTCGTTCAGTGTACCTCTGGTAACAGTTTCTCATCCGACCATGACAGGATTCCAAGTAAGCTCGACTGATGACCGATCCTACTATTCCTCTCATCGAAAGTTCATCTGCCCCTTCAATGTCGTCTTCTCTAACATGGTTTATAAGCCAATCTCTCGTCAACTCCAGGCCATCATTTTGTGTCTTGAGGAACTCAGCAAATTTCTTCTTCTCATAAGTTACACTCTGCAGATGGAAAGATTATCAATATAAGCTAAATAAATATATATCATATTAACACATTGACCAAGGGTTAAAAATTTGGTTGGCGCTGGCGCACATCAACAATTTCCCATTTATGCTTGGCTCGTTCAGTAGTTTGTGGGCAACATTAGGCACCTAAAAGATTATATTTTGATTTCTTTTTTTCTTTTTTTGCAATTAGGAATGTGAAGGTTTACCTTCACTTTAGGTGCTATTGCCTAAAAGTTTCACCATAAAAATGATGCTGCTACTGTCGGAGAAAAAGAAGCTCCATCTGATGAGCCAACAGTGCGGGAATGGTCTTGGTGTGATGCCACACACTACTTGTCAACAACAGCCGTGGCATGCATATACATGCTACCCAGTGGGGAGGTTATATCAAGTTTAGGCTTAAATATATTGTTTTATATGTCTCATATATAAATAGTCTCTTGCAATTACAACACATTTTACTAGTGTTGGGGTGCTAAACACAAGAGAACCTTCAACAAATAGAAAGTCAAAGAACATGCTGAAAGGAAAAGACCAAACAGCTAACTTGTTATACATACCTGTGCAATGATGTGAGGCCTGATTTGCTGAATGGTGAAGTTTGCCATATCAAGACGCATTAAGTCTAGAGTCTCCATCACGCCACGAAACACCGTCACAATTTCTGTTTCTCTCATAAGGTTACGGATAGTTTCATCCCGAACAGGAGCACAGAGGCGAGCCATAATGGAAAGTACATACTGTGAATACCTGCAAAGTATTCGAAGCCTGTCAGTATTAAGAACTGCCTTTGCTCTTTTTTTCAAGGCAAATTGTTTCTGTTACTATAACAAAAATATCTTTGTTGTAACATTTGTTGAATGTTTCATTCTTTTAATTCATTTTAGCTTCTGTTCTTTCTTAACGGGTATTTTTCGAACACAGAAGGCTTGGTGGGACTAATGCTAAAAACAAATGGGGGCAAATAAATTACATATTTCTAAAATCTCACACAGAACAACCTGTTCAGCTGGAATTACAAAATTCCTGTGCCACAGGAGATCCCATAATACAAAGACAAAGTTAAGATACAACAAAAACAAATAGATGCCAATTTTCACTTACTGACTAAAATCTAATACACCATGCTCTGCCTGCTGTTTGATCAAATCAACATCCAAGGTGTCTGAGATTTCCTGTCGCAAACGAGTGTGGTGAGGAAGGGTGATGTCTAAAAGGTTGTCCCGGACTTCCTGACAATATCAAAGCCTGTTCATGCATTGAGGTTCCTGGGCTAGCTGTTCTGCTAACTGTCCCAGAAGGCTTTGTGCATGACATACGAACCTTAAAAAAGTGGAACAAAACGTGAAATCTAGAGTATAAATCACACTGCGTCACATAGTCAACCATTTTATTATCATAATACAGGAATATGATAACAACCCTTTAACTCTAAAATCAAATAGTTTATGTTAACTATCTTAAAATAAAATGTATATAAAGAATAAGGCATTAATCCTTTTACTGTAGCGAACAACTATATTCGAGTTCCTATTAGGGTGCCTTTACTTTACTCTGTGTTAATAAAAAAAAATTAGTTAGTCTGAGTTACCCTTATAGATAACTAATGACATGTTACCATATACTGACCATTCTAAACATCACGGACTGTAACAGCTCTGATCACTTTTCTTAATTTACATAGAGAATTTTTCAATATCAAGACAAGGTGTGCAGTTGAAACTACAATACATTAGTATATCAATATATACAGTTTGCCACATGACCCATAATAGCTGTAGGATTTGCAGAATATAGCAATAAAACTTTGGTCACATTCATCAGTGGTTGCTAATCCTTTCATATGAAACTTTAATTACAATCCAGCTTGCAAATAACAGGCTTTGTCCTTTTGGTGGTTTATGATGGCTTTCACTTCTTAACAAGTGTCACATAAAATGGAAGAATTTTAGTTTGTTTTTGACTATCAGTTTTGCAGACATTTTGATGACCTTAACAGTACTTTAAAAGATGCTGTGATATGATGATGATGATGGTGACCATTCCTCTGCATTAAGTACAATCGCAAATTTCTCCTGCTTTTTAGTGAATACGAACACACAGCTAGCAATGCTGGAATTATAACTTTACATAGAAAGGGTCAAGACATATATCTGCTCACGTAAAATCTAGAGGTTATTAAACATGATAGCTGTGTCTCTAATAAAAAAAATGAATAAAAAAAGCGAGAGTTACACCGCCTTACCTGCTTCTCAACGCTGTTATCTGGAGGTTCAAACTTCTCCAGCTTGAAAATTCTTGTCTTACGGCAAATCTCATGTGCGAGTACCATGTTGCTGACTCCCTTTGCTGCTTTCATGACTTCCTCTAAGGACAATGAATTTAGGAGGAGATGCTGCAACGCCTGGGAAGATGAAGTTTTGAACCGGGGAGGAGCCACTTACAGTCCGTTGCCTGGTGTAAAGAAAATTCTGATGTTGATATCCTTGACAATTAAGTAACCAGAGTTGCACTACAATATCATAGTCAGTTTGTGTGTGTGCAAGTGTGAGTGAGTGAGTGAGTGAGTGAGTGAGTGAGAGTGATGAGTGAGTGAGTGAGAGAGAGAGAGAGAGAGAGAGAGAGAGAGAGAGAGAGAGAGAGAGAGAGAGAGAGAGAGAAGGAGAGAGAGAGAGAAGAAGAGAGAGAGAGGAGAGAGAGAGAGAGAGAAGAGAGAGAGAGAGAGTGAGTGAGTGAGAGAGAGGAGAGAGAGAGAGGAGAGAGAGAGAGAGAGAGGAGTAGTGAGTGAGGTGAGTGAGTGAGTGAGTGAGTGAGTGAGAGAGTGAGTGAGTGAATATGTGGGTTTATGTGTGTGTGTATATATAAAATATATATAAATATATATAATTATATAAAATATATAAAATATATATATATATATACATATATATTATATATAATATATATATATATATATATATATATGTAATGTATGTATGTATGTATGTATGTATGTATGTATGTATGTATGTATGTATGTATGTATGTATGTATGTATGTATGTATGTATGTATGTATGTATGTAGTATGTAGTATGTATGTATAAAACAAGTAGTAAAGGGAGCTGCTGCATTTTTCCATACTATGGCTTTAATTGGGGTGTTAGTACAGTCTAGAATTTGGATAACCTGAAAGAATTCCTGTTATTGCCCTGAAAAAAAAAATTTGTTGGGTGCATCACTGCATACATTATTCCACATTGCAAAACACGAGTACATCTAAAATGGCACTGTAATTATTACAACTGACATTATCTATTCACATTGGATGTATATAACTGACTCTCTTTTGTGGCACATTCACATTTTTTTCCTTTCTTCAATTCTTCAGTACCTGCTACATCTCTGTAACTCAAATGTTCAATATGAGAAAAAAAAGGCCTCAGCTCCCCTTATATAAGTTTAGTCACCTCCTCCTGTGTTATGGCATTAATATCAAACAAAGCCAGTGCAACGTAAGAGGAAACACAACAAAACTGCTCAAAGAAAAATTTGTGAATACCAAAATAAAAGATCGTCATTCCTACTTCTGCTAGCAGCCAAAAAGGGATTAATCAAATCTCAAGATAAACCTAAATGCCTAACAAAGGAATAATTGTGTTTTAGCTGTTATTTTCTCACACATGTGCTTATACTCATCCCTAAATATTGTGTTTAAAAAAAAATATTTAAGGGAGTCAAGCACACTTACAACCATGGCACATACTAATGTGTTATTTTTATTAAATCAACTGAAAATTTAAGAAACTCATGATGCTTATGTATATTACATGACTGTAAATGCAGAAAACACAAAATACAAATCAAGAAAACAGTAACAAAACACAACACAATACTATTAAAATTTTCTGATATTTACACTTTGTATATATTCTTTCAATCGCAAAAAATACATATTTCAAGTCAAGTTGTAGAGTTACCAGTTAGTGCATGATCATTGCTTAGTGTCTGAGGAAACTATGATTATTTCATACACTATAATAATGAAATATTTAATTACACACCTTCCTACTTCAATAATTCATTATATATCTATGTTATCTGCTTCATCCATACTATATTACTAAATATGTTATTCCTCATTCACGTAATTTCACTTACTAAAAATATTCAAAAACAAAGCAAATAAAATGCAAACCAATGCAATCTATTATATTAAATATCAAATCAATGCCTATGAATATGCAACTGGCTATCACCCTCCATAGAACTAGCAAACATGGGTCCACTCATTCTCCTTACGGAAAACAAAATCAGAGCAAATGACGTGGAGAGCATTGCAACCAACAGCCATGGCTTGTTATATCTAAAGCTTCGATCAGTCATGATGGAAAATCGTTCAATGCTCCTCTCATGGCTGCTCATTACTCCTCTCATCACATCATGAAAACTAGCTACGCAATAAAATCAAATAAAAGAATAGAACAAAAGAAACACACAATAACTAGTTCACAAGTTAAACAAACCCTTCCATGTCTTTGAAACCTTTTAATGCCAGCACCAATTATGCGGAAAACATGGGGACTGGCAAACATCGAGCCAAGCCAAGGAATCTCGTTGGGTGATCTGTTGTGAAGTTTTGATGATTAATGATGGGGGTGAAATAATCTGTACTATAATTTACCACCGACTTACTGTAAAGTGTGTTTAAAAAAAAGAAACAGAAAGATGTTGACAAAATCTATATTACTTACAAAATAAGACTTAAAGCAACAAACTAAATCTAAAACATAACCAGACAATCATAATCAAAATCAAAAGTAAAAGTGCCAAAGTACAAAAACTACATAAAAATTGTACTTGAAGCAAGGAAACCAAACTTTTCCGTAAAGAAGAAATAAAGCACATAGTGTCACCTCGGTCTTACACCAATTACATCAAGGATATTTATGTCTAGATGGCTGATTTATGTTGCAGTGCACATTCCCGCTTATAGATCCAACTCTTCTGTCCTCAAGCTGAGTCTTTAGATTTCCAACTACACAGTTCTTCTGAAACTTTTAAAATTCATCCCAGTCCACAATGCAACTCTATATATTTATCCCACATATCACAAACATTAAATTACCTTACAAATGGTTTGTTGCTGAAAATAAATTCAAATTTTCCTATAAAAGATAGATCTTTTAATAGCATAGACCTCCTAAGGTTAACTATGCATGTTAATACTAACTAATCTGTACAAGTCTTTGCATTTAAACTACTTTCCTTTTTCTGTATGAACTTATGAAAAAAGGACATTTATGTTCAAGCTTCCAGCTTTTCCTTTACCCTTTTTCTAAACTTGGACTTTAATCCCTAATACAGAGACAGTTTTCAATCACAGGCATAACAAGTTTGCACTTTTTAATGAAAACAAATATAATAATAATATATAAAATGAGGTATGAAGCATTAAAAACCTATTGTTGCCTTGCATATAAAATATATAAATCAATCATATTTAAAATGAACTATTAATATTAAATTCAATACATAAAAAGTCCAGTTCAACTGAGAACTAAGAATATGATATATTTACTTGTCACAGAATGAACTTCATAATGAATAAGAGCACAAAGATATCCTCACACATTTCCCTGGAAGCATGATAAAATGAATGGCCCTTTGAAAATCTCACATTATCAGTACAATAAACATATCTTTCTACTTTCAAACTTCCTTCACAACAAAGTAAAGAGTGTAAGATGCGTTTCTACATAACACGTAAGTGTCACTATTGCAATAAACATGAAAATACATCTATAAATTGTATTCTATCATATATGTAGTATAAAAAGTGGTATTCACATAAAAAAGTACATATAATGATGCTGGTGTAAATATGATATGAGTGAATTTTACTGAGGTATATGAACTTCAAATACTACCCTCTGATGAAAGTATCTGCTACCCACAAAACAATCATTATTAAAGCAGTCTTATATTACCTAGGTTCCAAAAGAGCAACAACTTAAACAGTTTAAAAATAGATTAAATACGATCATGTCCTACCTCTTCATGCGCTCTGAACTTGGAGATTTGCCACTTTCCGATGAGCTCTCACTGTCATTTCGGAAGCGAGCACCTTGAACATCTATCCCCTCAGAAGACTTATCTCTTGGTTTGCAGGCCCCTTTCTCACTCTCATTGTCACTCTCTGTGTCACTTTTAGAGATCTTGGCCTCTCCCTCTGCTAGTGGCTTCAAGTCATCATCAATTCCATGTTCCAAGGGGTCTGGACTTGCATCACCTGATGTTCCCTTTGACTTTGAAGAATCTGATTCTTCACCCTCCATATCCAATTTCTTCTTGACAGACCTCATTTTTGTTATCTCCTCTGTGCTTCCCATGGCTGGGTTGTAAATAACAAATGGGGACTCCTGAAATAAAAAAAGCTTTGTTAATCAATAACTAGGAACTTTCACATACTGCTTACTCTTACATGGCATTGCCCTTTTAATGTAACATAATGTAGTACATAATGAGCATAGTTACAACCCATTTTAATGACTAAATATCTAGAAGGAAAAGAGAAAATGCACTTCCACTTGAGAAAGTTGTATCAGTACCTACAAGTTAGATTCCAAAAACTGAGCTTCAATATGTCGAGAAAGAAAACATGAACATATTGTATCATGATTTCTTCGAAACCATAATGAGATCTCACCCTACACGAATTCACTTGTCACTACGGCTCAGCTGCGACGTAAACTCCGTTCTCTGCAAAGCTTCGTCTCTAGCCTTGAGCGATCAATAACTATATTTTCCTTGTTTTAGTTGTGTCTTCAAATTAAAAACACTCACAAAATAAGTTGAAAGGCCCTATTCTATATCTCACCTTCTGCGAAATGAAATTTAACAATTCCTAAGCACGAAAATTTGAGGAGAAATCTAGCGAAGTCTCGAAGTTTCCACGCAGTTCTGGACGTCTATCCCTGAAGCGTCGCTTTGTTTATCTGAGCCAGCGTGGACCCATCAGCTGTTCCGTGTTTACAGGTGTGACGTCACAATAAACGCTTTCGTTGATTGGCTAGCAGAAGCACCCTTGCTGTGTGTGATTGGTTGCTTTACAGCTGGAAGCGCTGTTGCCAATTTTCTATTCACCTTTCAGCTTGGGATTTAAAGCGTATGTGCCACGTGTACAAGAGAAGCGACGCAACTTTTATGTTACGTAAGACGTCAGGCTTCATTGTTAGTGAGCCTATAACAAAGCCAATCAGTAAAGAATATGCAGATACTTATTTTTACTCAATTAATAGTCCAGTCTAATTAGATGATGTTCCTTTTAGCAAAATGTATGCAAGCATTGGTGACCATGTCCTAAAATATCTTTTATTTAGGTTATTAGCCTCAGAAAGGATTACCCCCAAAGGGGATTTAGACACTATATATTTACATAGGTGCAAAATTGATCACATATCAATTTTTAAATAATCTGGAGAGATTATTTTCTGTACAGTTCCGCCTCTTCCACAGACAAATTAGGCATCTTACAATATACCCAACGCACAATATCAAAATGGCAAAAAATGGAGAATTTTGTTAAATTCTTGCAAGCTTAAACTGTGGTGAACATATAACAGACACCCATGACCTATAAAACTAACAGATCTTTGTATTCGTGCTCAAAACGTTTGACCAAGAAAGACTTCCTAATTGCTGGCGAAAGTGTTATCCACTTTTACCTAACAAAGTGTGTGTATATAATCAAGGCCAAAACTTTAAGGTGCACAATGTAACGGCACATTTGGAAGACAATCATAAAATATTGTAAGTAGCGACCTTAAGAGTACCATATGTGGCGCTTCTCCTCTCTTGTCCTCCTCGGCATCTTTGTCCCAGCTTCCTAGATGTGTCTCCAAGTATTTAGGGAAGTCTTTAAGACAAACCTTTGTCTTCCGTGACCCCATTATAACTTGTGCCATTTAACTGATCAATGCCGGAAATTGACTGTAATGCGTCAATAATTGTATGTAACAAAGAAAAGATGCTTTCTTAGACATTAAATCGGTTTGAAAGATGGTAGTTCACTCTCCCATCATGGAGTGCGTGGCTATGCACTCGAGCCGCAGATCGGAATAGTATCGTCTACTCCTGGCATCAGACGCTTGCCTCTCAAAACAAAGCCCACTCTTGTGCCGTGCGGTAACATGGCCTCCTGACCCCCACCAGCCCCAAGCCCACACGGCCGCCAGACGCCCCCTCCCTCAACCCACGCATCCACCTCCCTCCCTCCCTTCGATTCTAGCCTTCTCTCGCCCCACCCACTCGCGCTAGCGGGCTTCTAAGACGTAAATATACACTCCTTGTGCTATCTTCCCCCCCGCCGACACCTCTCGATTCCTCTCCGGAGTTTGTGTCACTCCCATTACACTTTCCCTTTTCGCTGATGGCCGCGGAGAAGTGCTTCCAAGCATCATCTATCTATATCACGCTTTATCGTATGAGCATCCCTACTAGTGTGATTACTCTTTTATATTTGCCAATGGTGATTGTTTAGTGGTATTCCATTTTACGGAAAGTCTTGATATTAAGAAGTACCGGTAGAGTGTATGCATATCCCGTTTTACTCAAGACTTTAAATTGCCCTTTGCAGCATAATATTATTTCTTTTTAGCGGGGGAACCACTTGTTTTCTCCCCCTTCTCCCCACCCTTTGGTAACACAATCTTCCCGTTTCGTCCCGCTACGCCGATTCACCCTAATTCCTCACAAGACACGAGTCATCCTCACCCTTCTTTATTGCAGATTCAATTGGCTGCATCACTCTACCGCACCTCGCAAGGACCATCATTGCAAACCCTACAGCATGTGCTCGCAGTTGCACCTTCAACACGACAACTGGCGTCGCTGCGGGGGTTTAAAATGTACTAAAAAAGTGCCCCAAAAAGTGCTAGTTCGACAGCAGACAGCGTGGCGGTGGCTTGGCGTGGGGGTGAAACCTCCCGGAATTACAGTCTTACGTCACGAACGATGAGCTATGTAAATGCCAAAGAAAAAGTACTGAAAACGATAATATGATATTTAGACGAAGAGAGAAATGGGTAAGTATACCAATAGGCTATTATACATAACGGCCAGGGGTATTTAACCGCAAAACATGCTAAATTTAGACTGTGCGCCGAAGCATTCTGCTGTGACTTGAGTACACGGATCTTGATGTTGCCAGTTCGGAAATTAACTATATTTGTTGTAACCCATATCGTATATTCCTGAACACTATTGCAAATAATATTATTCAAAAAGGGAAAAAAACTAACCTCCTTAATGAGTTTCTAAAAGTAAGACACGACGAAGAAAGAAATGAGCCGATATTCGATCATTTCCCCCCGACTGGCAATACCGCCACCACCGCCATGTGACAGAGGCGGAACCACGTGAAGGGAACCTGCTTTGTACCTGAAATCAACATTGCGGATAGGGCTTTTATTGAACGGTTGCTAATCAACGGATTAGTTCTAACGGACTCACTAATATTCAGAAAAAATAAGTTCACGGATTAATTAAAACGGACACAGAAATATTCAGGAAAAAAAATATGTTCGTTTGTTTATAATTACGTTTAGCCCGGTGATCCCTACGACTTGCATCTGTGATACCGTGTTGCGTCATGTTAACTATAATAATGAGCATTGCATTGACTCTATCACGCGTTGCCACAGAGTTGCGTCACGACCATCGGGCCGACGCGCGTGCAAAGAGAAATGTAAAAAGTGACAATTCTTCCGGTTGTTTCCGCCAATCACAAAGACAGACGACTGCCATTGTTTTTCATGACGTCATTCGTTGGCGCAAGAACACGCTAATCAAGGGAAGGTTGAAGATGAGAGGTAACCGTTAGCATTGCATACATACACCCATTGTGCATGTGTATGTATATATATATATATATATATATATATATATATGTATGTATATATAAATATATATGTATACACACACACACACACACACACACACACACACATATATATATATA